TATATTTATCTATGCATCCTTAATCAAATCTCATCCTCACTCGCCAACTCGATTTATTTCATTTGGTGTTATTTGGATTTAGTGAGGGTGCTCGAGATCTAAGAATCAAAATAGGAGCGTGAAGTTCTTACAAAACACATTTGCTAGATATGAATGTTAAGCAGCGAAAAACAAGAACAAGAACCCAAGGATAATAAAATTGTTCTTACATCATTATGCATACGAATCTTGATTAACGTGTAGTATTCATATATTTATTTCACTTTATGCATTCAAGATTTTCATATTTGTATTTTCAAATGAAATTGCTTTAATAAATAGTTAGCAGGTTTTACTAACTTGCTCATGCAAGCATAATTATTAGTATATTTGATGAACTGAGTTCATGAACCAGTTTTATTTATATACTTCGAAACACTTTTTAAGCACCAACTAACCAGTAAGAGCAGGATAACATCTCTAATATATTATCACATAATTATCTATTATCGTTATATTAATATCTTTTTATAACTAACATCTGTTTTACTTATTATATAGGCTACTTTATTATGGTTAACTTTAATTAAAGTACTTTCAGTCCTGGTTTTAATATAACTATATTGAATAACTGCCCATAAGGGATCGTCTAAAGTCAAGTAGTAATTTATATGCCTCACGTGATATTTACATTACAAATGTATTATTATGCAACGTAAAAACTACCTGGCTTTAGACGATCTCTAATTAAGAAATACAAAAGTTACAAAAGTTACTACAATTTAAAAAAAAAAAGTTACTACAACAATAGTGTTAAATTATTATTAAACCATATAACTATAATATTTATTGTGGCACCAATAGTGAATATTAGTACTTATAAGGTTTATATTGAATGTTACTGTAGTAACTTGTACATGTGATCTGTAATGTGAGGGTTAGAGGTTAAGATCAATTAATTTAATTATGATGCAGTTAAGGTAAAAGAGGAAGTAATATAAAGATAATAATAACGAAATCTAAAGAAGTAAATCAAATCCAAAAGTAAACTTCAATAATTCAAATTACATTTTTATTAGTAAATTAAATTTCACTACCAAGACCCAATTTCTATGATAATGAATTTAAAATCCTAGTTTTTTATTAATTGGAATAACTGCAATATATTTAGTTGATCGATGTAATTTGTAATCTACTTTAAAAAATCTACAAAATATTCTTTGAACGGGAAGAATATTTTCAACTGAACGTTTATAAAAGCTATTTTCCCACAATTCAGCACAAAACATTCCAGCATGAGCACGTCCACCTTCATCAAACTGAAAGCAATCAGTTTCACGATTATATATATGAAAATAATCAACATTATTAGATGTTTTATACCAATCAACAAAAGCAAACCAATGCTCCGCTGTTTCAAAATCTATATTATTTTCCATAGTAACTTCTTTTGGAACTTGTACTTGATGTTTAAAATAATATAATACTTTTCCAGGCCAGTGATATATTTTATATTCTTTCCTAGTTTTGATTTTTTTTTCATCAACAAAAGCTGCAATTATATATGAATTCGAGTCCGATCGTGAAGAAATAGAACCAAACTTCTCATCTCCAATATATATAGTTCCAGTTCGCTCAATTGCAGATGTTACAAAAATTGAATGGGAGCTTGAAACATAATCACAAGATGCAGTAAAAGACAATGTTCGTCGGTTTTGAGCATAAACTTTGTTATAAAATTGTGCAAGATACCGAGTTGTAATATCATCTAATTGTGAAAAGTATATAGGTTTAAGAAACTTTCCAGGAAATGATTCGGCACCAGTAATGTTTTGTTCAAGAATTTTGGTTGACATATTATAAAGATTTAGAACATCTTCTATGGGTATTAAGTATTTAGCCAATGTGCCTTCTAATGAAATAGAATTACAAAATATTCTGAATGAGTGATTAATTGAATCCGGAAATTTTTTTAATAAAGTTGATGCAACTATATTAATTGTAATTTCCTCATATATAGAAACCATAACTTCAGTAGTAATATCTCTATTTGACGTTGGAATTGCCGATAACTTGCCATTCATTCGTTCATATGCAAAACACCAAATTCCATATACTGGCCCATAATCTAAAAAGCACTCTTTTAAATGAATATGCATATGCATATTAGGTGTAATAAACTCTACTCCAAAAATTTCCTCTATAGCGATACAAAATTGATAAATATATTCATGCGCTTTTTCAATTTCTGATATACTAATCACTCTTTGTGCCCACAATGCATTAGCACATACGAAATTTTGCCAGTATTTTCGATGATTTTCAGGTAGTAGGTTACGAACAGCCAAGGTTGAATAGACTAAGATCCAATTTTTCCACTGGTCAGCCGTAAATGATGAAAATCCAGCCGCAATTTTATGAGGAATCCGCCCAATGTCATATGGTGGTGGGTTACGATTGATAATATTTTGTATAATTTCTAAATCTTTTTTAGAAATTAAGAGTTTATTATTAATATTAATGGTGGTCCAAAGTTTTGTAATATATTGCGCAGTTCCTAGATATAAATTATGCATAGGATCAATTGTCGTAAAACGAATAAGATCGATATACGGAAGTAGTTGTAATGGAGTCCAACGAATTCCATATTCTTCAAATATTCGCTTTCTGCCTTGGTTATTTTCATTGAACCAATTATTAGATAATTTTTTATGTGTAACATTATTAAGACGAGGAAATTCTTGGTTAAATCCAGAAAAATTTACTTTTCCACTTTTTGAATGATTACTTGGAAATGTTGGAAACTTTTTGGTACATCTATAACACCCATGCTTAGAAGAATGTCCTGCAAATCCTGATATTTTGCGAGCCGCTGGTGTATCACATGCAATAAGTATTAAAGCACCACAAAAAAGCCGGCCATTAGGATATTTTGTAGTTTTAATTGTAACTCCACTCCATAGTTTGTCTAATTCATAAGCAATTGGTTCAATATATTTATGAATTTCAGTAACCGAAGGTTCATGAGGTCCCGGAATTAGACCAACTAAAAAAACATTTTTAGTCTGATATCGCATATGTCTTGGAAAATTTAAAATAGTTAAATAAATAGCTCCAACAGATATTGGTGAATGCTTATATGGATTAAACCAATCAATATTAAGAGAAAATCCTAGTCTTCCTTCAGCTAAATTTCCAACAAAAAAAGCAGTCTCATCATTATCTTTAAATGTACGCCAAACACGACCATCGTATACGTCAGAAAGCAAATTATTTGGTGGCAATGAACATTTATAACAAGATTCTAATGCTTCTTCTATTTCCGGAAGCAAAAGAATTTTTTTAAGATGTAAAATAATCGAATGGTAAGAATATATTTTAATCGGCTATATAAAAATAAGATCAGTATTAGTATTTTATAATAAATAAAAAAAATTATATAATTATTAAATATATACTTTATATAATGTTTTCCCTTTAGATGTACGAACAGGTTTTTTGAGTTCTGCTCCACAAGTACAATTTGATTGACAAAATTCGGTTATATATTCTTGTGTCCAGAAGAGTTTATGACAGTTCGGACATACAAAAAATTTTGTAAAATTTTGATCTAGTCCAAAAAGCTTTGAAACACGATAGTTAGATTTAGGAAAAGTTGCAAAGTAATCGGAATCGATATAATTTAATATGGAATGTAAAAAATTAAAAAGAATTCCTATTGATGTTTTAGCAAGAACGATCATGTGCTTAAAAAGTAAAATCCATAAAACAATCCATTGAATAATAATTGGGGCAGTAAGTAATAAACACGATATATCATTTGGATCTGATTCAATGTGAATAGGAAAATTTGTAGCTAAGAAATTTGTTTCGTATTCAATGTGTTCATTATTATACTCAATGCTAATACTGTCCTCTGTTTCATCCCCAGAAATATTACTGTTATCCGTTTCATCTTCATAATTATCTTCATAATTATCTTTATAATTATCTAGATTAGATTGTATTTCATGCTCACTATCTTCATCCGATTCAATAATTATATCATTAGATATACCAAATTGAGTAAGATCCATATTATCCGCAAATTTATTTTTTTTTCTATGATTTGATCTTTTCATATAATTATTAAAGTTCAAAGAATCAAAATGTTGATCTTGTTCTGTATATTCGAGTACTGAAGTTGAATTAGGTTGAAGTATCTCCATATTTTCAGATGTGAAAGAAGAATCCGATAAAGTTTCTGTATTTTTTGATACTATGGGTAGGTCTGGTTGAAAAGCTTCTAAAGGAAATTCACTACTTTCATTTGTAATATTTTCTGAAATTATTGACATAGACGGCATAGAACTATCTGACATATATAAATCGAAATGATCATTCCAAGTTCTTCGATCGACTTTTTTTCCATTGCACTCTGGACATAAACAAATATATACCATTGAGTAGTATTTAAGAGAGATGAGATTTGTATTGGAGTTAGAAGGTAAAAAAATTTTATTTGAATTAAATTACTAATCTGAAGTTTGTTTGACGATCCTGATGACTAAGTCTGTCATAATTAGGCTCTACGTTATACTTTGTTATAAATTGTCAATTTACATAATTATGACTAGTAAATCTATATTGAGGCATTTATTATTTTCAGAAAAATATATTTTTCTAGGATTTCTGCTGAATTTTTATTATATTTATTTGCTTATTTATTTATTTTATTATATTTTCTTTTCGCTTTATTTATTAATTTATAATAATCCTTCGGCCCTATTTTCACTATCGAAAGATAAGTATATCACATTTTGTTTACTATATAATTTATATTATTGTTAAATTATACAGATATTAATTTTTTATTACCCGATTTATTCCATCACGCCACTTTAAAACCTTTATTATCATGCTTTCGATCCATGCATGATTCGATTGTGTTTTGCAAATTCATTCGATCGTAGGACAGATTCAAACGAGTTCATTGAACTGATTCAAACAGGTTCAAGAGGGGATGATCGTTCAATCATGGGGCAGATTCAATTGGGTTCTTGATTAGTTATTAAGAGGACAATTGTTCGAACATCAGTTATTTTATAAAAAAAAAAAAAAAAAATTATTATATCATTTTCTCTACTAACTTTTGCTTATTTTAATTAATTATTTTAATCATACGTATTAATCATATAATTAATCATATTAATCATAATTAATTATATTAATCATATTAATCATATAATTAATTATATTAATCATATAATTAATTATATTAATTATATTAATTATATTAATTATATAATTTACCAGATTTATGCTTTTTTTTTTAACACAAAACGAGCTCGGTTTTTGTTCACTTAATCATATTTACCATGCTTTCAATCATGATAATTCACAATATAACCTTCAACATAATCCTTTATTTATTAACCCGAACCTCTATTTTTTCAAGTGTAGCAACTATATAAAATAAAAAAATAATTTAATATTAATAATGGTATATGAGCACTACCAAAAAATAGACATCGGGCTTTCAATTAAATTTTGTACTGGATACAATCTATAATGAATTAGATAGGATATGTCCCGTACAAAATATAATTGAAAGCCCGAACTCTCATTTTATCTTGTCAAAATTATATGTATTGTATATCAAGAACTTTAGTCGGATTTTAAATCTGATTTAAACTCAATAAATCGTAATTTCTTATTTAATGAAAAAAAATAAATAAAGAGATAAAATTTTTATCTTCTACTACTTGTGACTCTTACTCGTAACTCTTCTACTCATTATCTATAAATCTAAAGAATAAAAACAAAAATTCTCAATTATGTCAAATAAAACAACTAATTTTCAAATCTATACGGCAATACAATCTCTTGAAGATCTTATAAAATCACAATATGTAGAACATCAAAAAAGATTTGATGATCAAGACCAATTATTGAAAAACTTCGAAGAAGAAGTAAAATTACAACTTGCAGATCAACAAAATAAAATAGAAGAATTGATAACCATTGTTCAACAAAAAGGATTTGATGGTTCTGATAACAATAACAATAGGCAACTAATCGATATGATAAATGCAGAGTTAGTTAGTTTGAACGATCATAACGGTCTTATTAGTGACAAATTAGATACTTTTGAAACGTTACTAGAAATCATAATTCCAACGGTCAGAACAAAAATAATTTTTCTTCTTCATTACGATATCCAAAAGCTATTAAACGAATTAGGAAAAGAATTTATAATAAACAAAGTGATGAGGAATCCATTCAAGGCGAAGAGTTAATTAACAATACAAGACATTCTTATCATAAAACGCATCCAACTTTAGTTCGTTATCTTCATTGTAAGATTAAATTACATCGCAAAAAAAAACTTGCATACGATAATAAAACTTTACCAGCAAATCAAATGGTCGGCGAAGAATATCTTCCAGATATCTCCAATACGCCTACTGCCGGAAATAATCCAATTGTTATTGAGCGATATGTAGATTATTTTATAAAAGATTGGGAAGTTCGCAAAAATACTAATGGTATGTAATAAGTACTTATTTATTATTATTATCATAATTATTATTATCATAAACCCCTTGACAGCATTGTCTATATGACAATTTTAATTGTTGTTTTGAAAATTACTACGTAATATTTTATTTTTTTAGAACTAGCATCAGAACAACCTTGGACACGTGAAGTAATTACGGACATCGCAGTTCAATATTTTCACCATTTACATAAGGATTATCTTGCCTTGAAAAAGAATCCTGATACTTTTAATAATCGAAATGTTAAACAACGCCGTGATAATCGTCTTAGTCTTGTAAGATAAAACTTTTATATATTTATATGTATGTTTTAAAATTTTAATTTAAATATTATTTTTAGAAATCTATGGCATTATTAAAAGCCTTGGATCAATGTTCTGATACTAAAGATTTACGCCATCCAAAGGAGGAAATTAAACTAATTCTTCATAAACGTTGTATATCACTGGAACTAACGGACGAAGAACATCAAGAACTTCATCCACAAGATAAAAAGCAATTACTTGTTGCACCTATATATTGGCGCTCAGATGAGGTAAAGCAATTTAACGATATATTTCAATTCACTCATTAATTTAATTTATAAAAAATCTTTGAATTTTTATTATTTAAAGCACAATCGATTACGAACAATTTTAAATAAAAAAGCCGGTATTCAATGTCCAAGCAGGTGGTCACCATATTCAAAAGGCAAAGAAAGGGAAAGTAGCATGTTAAAGCGCGTTTACCCCGAATCTGACCATTCACAATATGATGAACTAATTGGTCTTTCGCCTGATAAGTTATCTTTTCTTCCCGATTGGGCCTAAAAGATACTAATATAATGTAATAGTTGTATTTTTTTTCATTAATTACCGTATAGCACTATATACAATATCCAAATATAGTATCCTCCAAACCTTTCTAGCGCACCCACAAAATTGTATCCTCCTGTGATTTCTGACTGATCAAGTTTTTAGATCAGGTAATATAAACAATCGAAGCGGCTTAATCAAATTTTACTACTAGGCTATTCTTATCCTAATCCAAACGCAATGCAGTTTTATCCTTGGAAACAAATTATAGAAGAGTATAATTTTGTGGAGGACAACCTAAAATTCCTTTTCAAAGTACCTCCGTGGTGTTGTGTAGTGCTGTACGGTATATTTTTCTATATACGCTTCATTATTTACTAATCTTATTTGTATTTCATGTTATATATATAGATTTTTTAATGCTATTGTTATTACTAGTGCTTTTATATTAACCAATATCGTATTTTCAAAATGCAGAAAAAATTTATGATCGCGATATTTATTTATAATAAATATTATTGTAATATGCAGAATAAATAATTAATAATCAACATTATATTTATATACGTCATACATATTTTATACAAATATAAAAGTTGTACAAAATATTGAATAAATGTAATATAAAATATAATATAAAAGGGATGGGGTCCTATAGCCTAGTGGTCTAGGCACCCTCTCTCCACAGACAAGGTCAACAGTTCAATTTTAGCTGGAGGTAAAATTCTGTAATTTATAGAAGCATATAAATGTATGCAAAGCTCTGTGGCTAAATTCATGTAAATAAAAGATCAATGTATAAGGAAGTTCTCTGAAGAAAACCTTTTGATATAAAAAGTTGGTGCTCAATACAAGAGAAGCGGTAAGCATACCAGAAATGGAGAGAAGGTGCACTAGCAGGTGATATGATAAATATAAAAGTAAGTTATAGGAAAAGAATGAACTTACCAGAATTCGAACATCTCTAGCACTAATACTGGTTTACTAGATACAGGATATAGTGAAGTCAGATAAAATCTAGATAGTAATATTGGTACCATACTTAGTAGTTTGTATTGAGGATGAATCTGAAGGACTATGGATATATAGTAATATCCAATGAAGTGGTACTTTGATATAAATAGTAATTAGATAGTCTTTATCTGATATGTCACAAAAATGGTAATGTAAATATTGCGTAATATACAAATAGTATTAAAAATCAGAAAGTTTAAATAGGGGACCCAGAGGCAGGTCTCAGATATAGTATCTAGTGAATAACCTACAGGCAGAACTCTTAATTAGATAATGACTAAAGTTATATGTGTTGCTATGTATATATATATATATAATTATATATTATCATAATAAAAAGACATACAGGCAAGATTGCTATTTAATTAAAAAAAATTAAAATACAATATAAAACTACACATATTTAGTCAAAATATAACCAATTTTAAATATAAATATTTAATAAATTTAAAAAAACATCAAACAAATGATAATAAAAATATATTGTTTTTTATATATTTATATAAATATTTATATAATATTTGAATCTTGTTTTAATAACGTTTATTTTATATTTATTTTTAAATTTAATTATATTGGTTGATTGTTTAGCTTTGATTTAATATTTATTTTGTAAATATTTTAATAGTAATTAATGGTAGATAAATATAGTCAAAATTGTACAATATTTTAACTGTATATAACTAACATTTAATTCAGTATTTTTACAAGTTTTTTATTAAATTTGTTTGATGTTTTGTATGGGTTAAATATATTATTTTTGACTAGTGTTAAATGAAATCTTTATTTAAATTGAAATTTTATGTTTATAAAGATATATAAAACGAATGTCAATATAATTATTTGAAATCGATTTATTCTGTAGTCGAAATGTAAAAAAAATCGTTCATGACTCGAAAAATATTATTATTTAGAAAAAAAGATTTACACGATCAAATTAAAGCGAGGAACCAATTTACATAAATAATTATTGGATGTGGTTTTTTATTAAGTATTGTATCTATTCAATATTTGATTGTTTTATTTACATAAAAATTTAATTTTATTGCTTTTTTTTTGTAAATATAAACATAGATTGAAGGCTGGAAAATCATGTGACTGCACCCTCGATTATTGGTGATGCTGGTGTTTTATTGAAATACATTTATTTACAAATCGATTAGTAATCAATTTAAAAATACCCGACTTTAGATTATTTTTATAAAGATGCAACATTTATGGATAGAACATGGAATTGAAAACACGGATTAATTTTTTTTATAGGAAAGAATATTAAAATACTCTAATATAAGGCATACTTCAAGTTTTTGTAATTTATTTCTTGATTATTTAGCAAAACAATAAAAACATTTTACTAAAAAATATCTAAATAATTGGATTTTTTGATTAAAGTACTTTCAAATAGATAATAAGGTTTATATTTCAAAATTTATTTTATTTAATAAGTTTGAATTAGAAATATATTCTAAAGATATCAAAGAGCTTAGTAAACACTCTTTTTCAATAATAAACTAGAACTTGCTCATGTAGCGACTTCGTCACCAAGGTTTAATGTATTTACTGAAAGATAAGAAATTTATATAGAAATTAATATTATATTATCAGTATAGAAATTACT